GCCGCACGCCGGGACCCCCCGGTGCCCCCCGCGCCCCCCCGGTGCCGCCGGTGCCCCCGCCCCGCCCCGCGAGGAAGAACCGAAGGAGGTACCGGGACCCGCCGGTCATCGGGGCCCGAATGGCTGCCGCGCGGGCGGGGGTGCGGATGGTCCCCGGCGCTGCCGGCGTCGGGATGGCCCGGGGGGACGGAGGGGACTCGGGGGCCCCGACGGGCTGGGGCCAGTCTCGCCCCGCTTAACTTGCGGATCTCAGGGGTTTGATGATATTTTTCGCCTCCATCGCGGTGCGACCGGGATCTTCTCGAGGGGAGCGCAGGTCCCGGGGAAGTGTTCGGAGAAGGGAGCGGATCCCACTGGATTCGGGGTGCTGGGGGGGGAGTAGAGCCCCGTGGGTTCCCGGGAGAAGATCAGACGCCGGTGGATTCCCAGGGAAAGAGGCTCAGATCCCTGTGAGCAGGGGGTAGGAGCGGAGCCCGTGGGTCCCCGGGGCAGAGGAGCAGGTGGATTCCCGGCTGGATTCCCGGCTGGATCTGCAGCTTATCCCACCACCGTGCCTGTTCTTGCCCTGTCCCTGCTTTTCCCGGGATCCCAGCTGATCCCAAGGGACAGCTGCAGCCTGTGTGAGCCTGGCCGCAGGCCAGGGCCTGATCCCGGATGGGAAAAGGCACCCAAGCCACCAGTTATGGGGTGCTGAAGGGATCCCAGGGGGGTTTCTCCACAGTGGGATCCCGGGTGGCTGAGCGGCAGCATGGAGCATCGCGGCTGGGATTCCGGGAAACGGGGACAGAATGGGGGAAACCTCAGGGTTTGGGTCATCCTGCAGCCGCTCCGTGCACCCCAAACCGGTGCTGCTGCCGTTGCATTCCCGGGCACGCTGGTGCTCCGCTGGGTTGGGCTTTCCTCCCAGCCGGCACCATTCACTTGGTGTTTTTCCGGCAAGAGAAAGCGGAATAAATGTCCGGATCGCCTCGTGGCGGTGGCCATGAGAGGGAGCCTCAGAACTGCCCGCGCCGGAGCTGCTCCCGGCGGTGTTGGGCGGGATTCCCTGCAGCTGGGCTGCTGCTCCGGGCCAGCCGCTGCTCTGCGTGCCATCCCCGTGGGCTGTTTTGGGGCTGCTTCAGGCGGGTTTGGGCCAAACAGGGAGAGCCTGTGCCAACACGGCTCCAGCGCTTTCTCCTCGCTGGGATGTGCTGCCCAGGAGCTGCCTGGGATGCCGGATCTGCTCCGGGATGGAAGTCCATCCCCTCAGGGCCGGCTCTCCGGGCTGACATTCCCTGTTCTCCACGGCAGCTCCGAGTGGACGGTGCAGCGGAGGCTGCGGGAATTGTTTTCCGTCCCGCGGTGCCTGGTCAGCGTGTTCAGCCTCTTCCTGGTGGAGCTGATCCGCTTCCTTGGCGAGGCCGTGGTGCAGGTGAGCTGCTGGGGATGTCACAGTCCTTCAGCACCGGGGGAAGGATCCTCCATTTCCCCCTGTTGCACGTTTCCTCTCCCGTAGTGGAATTTTTGTGTCTCAGCCCCTGTGTGGTGACTCCTGCTGGCAAGTATCCCTCAAACACAGGATTTCATCCCAAATCCAGGCGCTGGTGGTCGGTGTCCTGACAGCCGTCGGCGACCACGTCCTGAAGCCCCTGCTGGCGGCGGCGTTTCACAGCCTCCTGCAGCCGCTCCTGCTCTTCCTGCTGAAGGTGCTGGCGGGCGTGCGGGACCTGACGGAGCCCGTGCTGGACGTGGTGGCCCGGCTGTGCTCGCAGCTGGCCGTGCTGCTCCGCGCCGTCCGCCTGGTGGAGATCCGCCTGCGCCCCGACCTGCGGGCCGGCCCCGGCGACGGCGGCGGCTGAGGGCAGGCTGTGGGTGGCCAGATGAGATAAGGAAGAAGAATTCCTGGGAACTGCAGAAGAGTGGGACCAGCTGCGGCCCAGGAGGCTCCGGAGGGGCCGTTGTCTCCACGTGTGTCCGGGCAGGGGGCAGCACATGGCGTGCTGGGAGGTGGTTTGGATCTTCTAGTTCTGCAAATATCTCCTTAACTTAATTAAATTCCAATTTTATCCATTGGACCATTGCTCCAGTGAGGTGCTTTTCCTCTTCCTGCCTGGAAAGCTCGGCTTCTCACTGAGTAGGACTTCCCTGTGCAGTCTCTTGCCACCAGATGGGCTCCACTGCTGGGGTGGTGCCCAGGGCCTGTGCCTCAGGCAGTGCCGGGAGGGGACGGCTCCTGCCAGCTTCCAGCTCTCTGGAATGGTCTCCAGAACCGGTGGTATGGGACAGACTGGGATTTGGGGGCAATTGAAAAATAGGGATCACAATATAACGGAGCAACCACCTCTGTGTTCCTAACAACTGGCTCTGGTGCACGATTTGGGTCACGTATTCCCGTCGGGATGAGGCGGCCAAGGAGCCGAACGGCGGCAGCAGAGCTCTGGGTGCGTTTTACAAACCCTTGGAGGGGACTGAGCTGTGTTTCGGGGCTCCCCCGCCCCCAGCCTCAGCTCCCTCTGCCCTTTTGCCGTTCCAACAACGCTGCCTCCCGGGAGCGTCTCCCCCGGCTGGCGCAATCCCCGTGTTCCCGATGATTCCATGCCCAAAGCCCTTTGCTTTTTATGGGCAGGAGCAGCATGTTTGGAGCTTCCCCGGCTGTAAGATCATCCGCGGGCCAGCGCCGGGGCCGGAGCGCTCCTGCTGGGGGCCAGGCTCGCCGGGCTATTTGGGGGGTGCTGAGTTCACGGAGCCGTGACGGGATGTTCCTGGGCGCTGCGAGGGGCCGCGAGCTGGGAGCCAGCCCCGAGGAGTTCTCTGGGCTCGGGTGACCAAGGGCAGCACGGGAATGGGCACTGAGAGCCGCTGGGCAGCGGGAAGCAGCCGGCCTCTCCGGGACAGGCGGGGCTGCACGTGGGCACAAACAGGACCCGGGCACAGGGACCGAGTCCAGGACGTCCTGCAGCAAAGGCACCGTGCCACGACAACCACACGCAGGGGCTGGAGCTCCTCAGGACACCGGGGACACTCGATTGTCCCTGGGTACTTCCACCCTTGCTGGGCTGCAGGCTTGGCCTGATCCCTGCTCCCGTGACCTTTCCCTGGGGAAACAAACACGAGGAGGGCAGGGCAGAATTGATGGGGGGTTTCTCATTGCTTTGATTTAGCTGGCAAATCACTTTAATATTTGAAGTGGTTTAATTAAATTCAGCTGCTCTGGAACCAGGAATTCCCCAGTACAGTTTCTCTTTTTCGGCTAAAGCTCTCCCAATCAAAGGCCCAGTAGACGGCGAGAGCTGGGAAAATTCAAAGCTGCTGGTGTCATCTTTGACCTCCATCCGTCATCCTGCAGCGGGAGAGGAGGGCGGAGAAAGCCGCGGGGCTGGGAGCTGCCGCCTCCCCGCAGCCCCGTCCGGCCGCGGGATCCCGGCAGCCCCAGATTCCAGCGCTTGGAATTCGGGCTCCAGATCCAGCGGGAGCGTGTGGCTCAGGGAAACCCACGGGATTCTGGGGTGCAAAGGGGGGACCGGGAGGTCTGGCCACGGCCTCACCAGGAACAAAAACCTCTTTTCTTCCTCAAAACACGCCCGAGGTGCGCGGAGCCGCCTCGCCCGCGGCCGCCGCCCGGGAACCGCCGATGCTGCCGGGGGCCCGGTGCCGGGGGAGCGGCGGTGTCCCGGGGCTGGCAGGACAGTGCCGGTGACCCGCGCGGGGACAGCGCCGTGCCGGGACAAGGACATTCCTGGGCTGGCACTGCCGGCAGCCGGGCTGGCAGCGCTCCCGCATTGCTGCTTCCTGAGATCACGGCTCCGAGCCCATCCCTGCTCCCAGCCCATCCCGGCTCCCAGCCCATCCCTGCTCCCAGTCCATCCCTGCTCCCAGCCCATCCCTGCTCCCAGCGCCCATCCCTGCTCCCAGTGCCCATCCCTGCTCCCAGCGCCCATCCCGGCTCCCATCGCCCATCCCTGCTCCCAGCCCATCCCAGTTCCCGGCGCCCATCCCAGTTCCCAGCGCCCATCCCGGCTCCCAGCCCATCCCGGCTCCCAGCCCATCCCTGCTCCCAGCCCATCCCTGCTCCCAGCCCATCCCGGGCGCACGCGGCCGGCGCTCCGCCTGGCCGGGCTCGGGTGCGCTCCGGCCGGGGCTCCGCGGTGCCCGGCCCGGCCCGGGCGGTCGGAGGAGGGGGCCAGGGCCCGGATGCAGCCGGCTGGAGCGGGAGCGCAGCCAGGGGCTGAGCGCGGCCTGCTCGGTTCTTCCCTAAATAGCCGGCGGCGGGCAGGAGGATTAGCCGGGGCATTCCTCGGCCCGTCTTCCTCCCTCAGCCGCCTCGCTCCTGGGCTCCCCCGGCCTCGGGATTCCTGCTCCTCCCTCACGCCGCCCTTCTGAACCTCCGCGGGCGCCCACAGCCACCCGAGCCCGGCTGTCTTGTCCCGTTTGGCAGCGGCCTTTGGGCTTTCCCCGGTGACGCCCGGCCCCGCCGGTGGAGCCCGGGGCTGTTCAGGGCCACTCCTGTCCCGAGGGGTCACGGCGGTGCCGGCCCAGACACAGAGCGTGGGGACAGAGTGTGGGGAGAGCCCAGGGACAGCACCTGGGGACAGAGCCTGGGGACAGCACCTGGGGACAGAGCCCGGGGACAGAGTGTGGGGACAGAGTGTGGGGAGAGCCCAGGGACAGCACCTGGGGACAGAGCCCGGGGACAGAGCCCGGGGACAGAGCCCGGGGACAGAGCCTGGATACAGGATCCAGGGACAGCACCCGGGTACAGAGCCCGGGGACAGAGCATGGGGACAGAGCCCAGGGACAGAGCCCGGGGACAGAGCGTGGGGACAGAGCCTGGGGACAGCTCGGGCAGCACCATGTGGGCCCAGGCCTGCTCTGGGTTCTGTGGGATTTGGCCCAGGCCAGCTCTGGGTTCTGTGGGATTTGGCCCAGCTCTGGGTTCTGTGGGATTTGGCCCAGGCCTGCTCTGCGTTCTGTGGGGCCGGGCCGA